GCAGAAAGAGCAGGCAGAGAGAAGAGAGAAAAGGATATTGCTGGCGGAGTTGTATATGACTCGATTGATAAGAGAATGAATAGATAGATGATCTGACTTCGATTGATTTGAAATGAATAAAGATTGCAGAATGGGGTAGCAATATAGGTAAGCATTTAATAACCCACAACTTGGTTACAGAGGATCGCAGAAACAGAAAGAGACTTTCGTCTTTGTTTAACATCCGGGTCACCAGGCCGGAGGCAGAAGAAATATAGAGAAAATATATAAGAGAAGGGGAAAGAACAAATTCTCTCGCGCCCCAAGCTCTCGGCTGCTCATCTAATTTTCCGACCTTCGATGTAACAAATATCCCAATAATTAAGCCTAAATGTAACAACCTTTTCACCCGGTTACAATCGTTTCATCTTGCACTTGTACGATGGGCCGTTGGTAAAGTGATGAAAATCGGGGGATGTCTGGCCCTTTATTTGGCGCCCCCGCAGCCTCACAGCCAAAGTGCGAGGGAGCGAGGGAGAGACGGGACGGGTGCACCGTACAAGTGTTGTGGTGAAATTGTATCACCCCCGTCCCATGAAATGCACCCCTTGTTACGGCGACGCCGCGTTTCCTAAATGAACACGTTTTACACCTTAAACGACTTGTTTTACAAATCGAACAAGTGAAACGTTCAGGGTTTCTTTACACACTCACAGACATAGAGAAAAATTATTCAAGATATTATTATTACCTTATATGAAAGTACCTAGGAAATTAATAAGGATTAATAATAATTCGTCACTCTCCTTTTCCAGTCTTTTTTTTTTTAATCTTTCGTTTTTTATTATTACTCGTTACGCCTCCTGCTCTTGTATACAACCATGCTTTCACAAATCCGTATTCGTTGAATTTTACATAGTTGCTCATCTAATAATCAACAATATACATGTTTATACCGATTCACAACCACAAAACTAAACAGTCTTTGTCAGCATATTTCTTGCACGCTACTGCACCACCTTGCGTATCTTCCATAATAAAAGTGTCACATTACATGCAGAACTTGTTCCCATTATCTGGGTACCAAGATCACTAGAAACCATACCCTGAAAGATGTTTGACGGGTGGGATTCAATATAAAACCCATCTTTTTTTAGGGGGCGGGGGCATTTTCATGACAGGCTGGCCCATCACAATATGCTCCTCTCGCTCCACTCTCACAACATACACACACGCTCGCTCACATTCCACTCGCACACTTCGCTCACTTCTTACTCTGGTACCACGTCTAGAACCATACCCCTCGCAAAAAATGCCTCTCGCAGGGTGGGATCACACTTAGACACTCTTCTCTCTCTCTGGCGGGGGGGGGCTCGCACTCTCTCCTCACTCGCACAGGCCTGGCCAGTCACCAATATCGCTTGCTCACTCCTTCACAACACACTCACCACGCTCGGCTCACATACATGAAACTCTCGCTCATTTCTATTGCGCAGCTCCCAGAACCCATACCTCGAAAAATGCTTCGACGGCGTCGGAATAAGAGAACCATCTTCCTTGGGGTGGGGTGCATTTCTAATTGACAGGCCTGGCCATCACAATATGCAAACCCTTGCTCATCTTACACACACACTCACACACCAGTGTCACACTCTCTCGCACACACTCTGCTCCACATCTCACTCTCGCGCTCACACGCTCTCTCCTAGAACATCATACCCTGAAAGATTCTGAGGGTGGGATTACACTCCACACCTCTCTCTCTCTCGCGCGGCGGAGGGCGCTCGCATTTTATGACAGGCCTGGCCATGCCAAACGGGCCACTGCTGAGATCGCATGCTGTATCTTTATTCACACACTCGCTCCACACTCGCGCTAGCGCACTCTCACGCCCGACACACTCACCACTCTCTACGCACTGCCGCAGCTCACTCGCTCCTGCGAAACACGCTCTCGCACAATTTGAACACTCGCGCACACACGAGCAATCTTGCTGCCACTAAATGTTCTTTAAAGCTTGATTGGATGCTACTCAATCGGAAGCTGCTTGGACTACCTGTTACATGTGGCATAGTTATGTAAATGTAATCCCTGTAAGATGATGCTGTAAGAATGTCCTTTTGTTGTTCTGTTTATGTTTTTTTAATGTCTTTTCATTTGGAACCTACTCGAGCAGCTGTTCCTACCTGTTCATAGAGATCAGTGATGTAAATTGTAAATACACCTGTAATAGATGCAGTAAATGTCCTTTGTTGTTCTGATTATGTTTTTGTATGTTTCATACTGGAACATACTGAAAATGAAATGAAACTCGATGTTGACATCGAAACTAAAGTGACATATTATCACATCACTAAAATGGTGTACAATTATCACACATAAACATAAACTTCATTTTCTGAAGATTTATTAGATTTTTATAGGCAAGGTTAATATAAGAAACCTGCAGTCTCCCCCTTATTAAGCCCAGTTCAAGAAAGAGTGTAATGCAGATAATTATCTTATATATGCTCACATGTCTGTCTACTGAATTAATTTTGCGCATTACCAACACAAGCAACTTGCACACGCGCACCCCACTCGTTCCCGCGTCCCAAAGTCATTAGTGACGGCGCGAAAACCTATTTGTGGTACAGCCGATAGTTACACCGTGAAGCTTGCTCTGGTAAAATGGATAACAATTTGTACCAAACCATTGTCGATTACAAGCGCAAAGGCCAGTATCCGCTAGACAGCACAAAGACATGTAAAAAGGAAATAAGAAGAAAGTATTCCACTTATGTCCTGGACGGTGAGTTTTTGATTGATTGTTTAAGTAGCCTATTCAT